ACAGCATGTTACATTTATAAGAGGAGTTTTATATGTTCATTAACATCATCTAACAAAAGTAACAGTGTAATTAGGTTTATTCAGAGCATGTTACTATGCATATAAAACTTGATGTAACATTATGTTACTGTTACATTGTTGTTAATGTGCTGGTACAAGCGTTTAGGTTAATTAACAACATATTACTTGCTGTTACATTTCTGTTAATGTGCTAGTACAAGCATTTAGGTTCATTAAGAGCATGTTACTTGCTGTTACTGTGCATATAAAACATAATGTAACATGGTGTGCATTTAGCTTCATTAAACAGCATGGGACATCTTGATGAAACCAAATTCATGCTGAGAGTGTGCATAAAAATTATATATAACATACTGATGAAACCAAATTCATCAACTTACATATGAATCTAATTTCATTGGTAAACATTGCGTCATCATGTAAAGGCTTATGTAATGTACTAATGAGACCATTTGCATYAATGTGTTAGAACATGCGAATTAGCTAATGATGTTTGCAATAGTGTATCAGATACATTGACATGGGTGATTGAGTGCATGTTGAATATGGTAGCAAAATACAGCAAAAACAATATGAAATTGAAAAACTAACCAGGTCGACATTACGCATTTGTACTACTTCGCAATTGTTTTTCGCACAAGATAACAATCCTTTTTTGAAAAGTGCGTATTGGGTGTTATGATTGACGCTCTTAGATCTTAGCTTAGTGTCCCCCTTGTCATAAGCAACGATGTATGAGTATGGTTTATATTAATATAGCTGTTAGACAAGGAAATAAATGACATCTAAAGTATTCGCCTTTTTCACGTACCATAACTTTCGTGGTAAAAAAATAACGACGCAAGGAATCCCTRTTCCTATACCGTTCCTCGTAGTTGAGCAATGTCGCCCATGCGTCGATCACACTAACGTAAATTGTAGTTGTACGCCCCAAGCTTTCGATCGCATGACGATGTAGCGTCGTATCGTTTGGTGTTGAAAACAACAACTCGCTGCATTTAAAACCGTAAAAAATGATAAATAAAAGATGAACACGAATTCCATGGTGGTAATAATGCAACAAAGAAATTTTCATATAATTATAAACTTACTACTTTCCTCCAAGCCCAGCCACTGCCCATTCATGGATTCTTCTTTCTTCTGGTATCAGGTTCAGGTCAACGGCTCTGATAACAAAAGGGGACCTGAGATGGTCACCCAACTTTAGTTCACGTCTTGTCGCTCGCTCCACTTGATATTTCTTTGCATCTTCGGATACATTACATTCGGCCTCTTCATGCAATACCATTGACAAAGGTTCCGATTGCTTGATTGGACTAATACCCAAATCAAACTTTGGAGGAGTAATGGTTGCATATGGTCTTTTCCTCTTTGACGTTGATATAGTATTTTCAGCTACTTTATCAACTGCTTCAATGAAACCAGGGCTTAACCAAATCTTGGGCAGTGGGTTTTCATTGAAACCACATGGCTGACTTACAACAATATCCATTGAAGGTTGTCCATCATTTTTTGCAGTTGAATGATCCTTTAATCCACTGGAATGAGTGTCGTGTGTCGTGTTACATGCTCTTTCCTTGAACATGTCATCCAATTGATTCTTGTATTGCTTGAAATCTTCGTCATCTAGAAACTTGGACATCGCTTCTTTAATCTCCATCTCAGCCTCCACTCTTGCACTTAAAACAACAGCGATCTTAATAAGTATCCGTTCAACATGATCCTGCATTTGTTGACATTTAAATGTATTAGAAATTGCATAACTTAAAATAATAAAATGAAAGACAATACACTGCATCTGTGCATATAAAACTTGAAGTAACATTATGTTACTGTTACATTGCTGTTAATGTGCTGGTACAAGCGTTTTGGTTAATTAACAGCATGATACTTGCTGTTACATTTCTGTTAATGTGCTTGTACAAGCATTTAGGTTCATTAACAGCATGTTACTTGCTGTTACTGTGCATATAAAACAAAATGTAACATGTTGTGCATTTAGGTTCATTAAACAGCATGGGACATACTGATGAAACCAAATTCAT